TCCTCCGTGGAGAACTTGTAGGGCTCCAGCACCGACTCGCCGTTCTCTGGGGACACACGGGGATGCGTGGGGTCACTCACACCCTCGCTCCGGTCACCCCGCTCCCCCCGATGTCCCTTGCCACCCACTGCGTCACCCCCCCTTCGCGGTGACACAGTGTGCCCCTGACCTCCTGCGAGGGCGTCCTCAATCTGCGCCAGGCCATCCTGCTCCTCGGGCAGCGCAAAGGTGAGCGCTGTGCCGGGGTTGTCGGCACGAGCCGTCCTGAGGGCACGGAGGGGACATGGCAGTGGGACACCCGCTCGAGGGGGCCACCGGTCGCCGTGGGCACCCCTGTGTCCCCTCTCTGTGTCCCCACATACCTGCCCACGCGGTGGATGTAGGACTCGACCGTCGGCGGCACGTCGAAGTTGATGACGGCGGGCACGTTTTGGAAGTCGATGCCCCGCGCGACACCGTACTCGGGGTCCTTGCCCTTGCTGGGGAGGGGACACATGAGATGTTGAGGTGGCTCAGGGACCCCCAAGGACATGGGGACACCCTGGGCAAGGGGACACCTGGGACACAGACACCCACGCGAGCACGGGGACACGGGATCCCTGTGGGTTTGAGGACACGCTGGGCACTGACACCGAGCATGGGGACACCCTGGGCACGATGACTCCAGAGTCACGGGGACACAAGGCAAGGAGACCCCCAAAAAGAAGGGGACACGCTGGCACTGAGACCTCCCTGGGCATCCACACTCACGCTGGCACAAGGCATAAACCCCCCCGGGCAAAAGAAACCGCCCCCCACCTTGGGGACATGGTAGACATGGGGAACGCCCTGGGAACAGTGACATCCCCGTGGGCGCTGGGACCTCCCCTGGGCACGGGACCTTGGTGGGGACAGGGACACCCCGAGCAGGAGCACCCCCGTGGCTCTAGGCCACCTTCCCCAGCCCGGGCCCCCCCCTGGCTGCAGCAGGACATCACCCTGGTGACACAGCAGCACCCATGGGGTCCCGCTGGCACCCACGGGTCTCACCTTTGAGCAGCACCCTTGCGTTTCTTGCGCGGGGGCTGTCCCGCGGGCACGGCCGGTGCCTCCTCGTCGGTGGCCACGATGTAGTCGTAGATGCCCCGGTTGAACTGGGTGATGACGTGACACCTGGGGACAAGGCGGGTACCCGTCAGCGTCCCCACCACGGCTATCTTTGGTATGGCCCCCCCTCCTCAACCCACAGCTACCCTGCCCTTCCTCCACGGCCACCCTGCACCCTCCTGGGACCCCCAGGGTGTCCTCAACCCCATGGGCATCTCCCCCCGCACCCCAAGGGCACCCTACTTCCCTTACCTCACCCGAGACACCCTCGGGCGCCCCTCGTCCCCAGGGAGCACCCCGCTTTCCCCCCACCCAAGGCTGCCCCTCGCCTTCTTCCACAAGCCCACGATAACCACCCTCGCTCCCCGAGGCACCCCGTCACCCCCTGGGTACCCGTGGGCACCCCGTTATCCATTTTGCCCACCTCCGCACCACCCCCCACCCAGCCGGGCACCCCACCATCCCCTCGGGGTTACCGGGAGCGGGCGGGAAGCTCGGAATTGAGGGCGCAGGCGGGGATGCCAAACTGCTCGAGGAAGAGTTTGAGGCGGGAGCAGCGGGCGAGGGGAACCACGGAGAAGAGGACCC